CTTAGAGGGAAAGCTTTCAGTTTTTCTCCATTGAGAATGATATTCACTGTGGGTTTGTCATATATGGCCTTTATTATGTGGAGGGATTTTCCTTCTCTTCCCACTTTATTCAGAGTTTTTATCATAAACGGATGCTGTATCTTGTCGAATGCTTTCTCTGCATCTACTGAGATGATCATGTGATTTTTATTCTTCATTTTGTTAAGGTGGTGTATCATGTTGATTGATCTGCAGATGTTGAATCATCACTGCATCCCTGGAATAAATCCCACTTGATCATGGTGTATGATCTTTTTAATGTATTGTTGTATTTGATTCACTAGTATTTTGTTGAAGATTTTTGCATCGATGTCCATCAGTGGTATTGGCCTGTAATTTTCCTTCTTTGTGTCCTTGTCTGGTTTTGGGATCAGGGTAATGTTGGCTTTGTAGGAGTTAGGAAGCTTCCCCTCCTCTTCAATTTTTTGGAAGAGTTTGAGAAGGATAGGTATTAATTCTTCTTTGAATGTTTGGTAGAACTCACCAAGGAAGCCATCTGGTCCTGGACTTTTATTTTGGGGAGGTTTTTGATTACTGTTTTGATCTCCTTGCTGGTGATTGGTCTATTCAAATTTTATTTCTTCCTGATTCAGTTTTGGCAGGCTGTATGATTCTAAGAATTTATCCATTTCTTCTAGATGATCCAATATGTTGGTGTATATCTTTTCAAAGTATTCTCTTAGGATCATTTGTATTTCTGAGGTGTCCATTGTAAGTTCTCCTCTGACATTTCTGATTTTATTTATTTGAGCTTTCCCTTTTTTTTCTTGGTGAGTCTAGCTAAAGGTTTATCAATTTTGTTTCTCTTTTCAAAGCACAAGCTCTTGGTTTCATTGATTTTTTTCTATTGTTTTTAAGTCTCTATTTCATTTATTTCTGCTCTGATTTTTATTATTTCTTTCCTTCTACTGATTTTGGACTTTGTTTGTTCTTCTTTTTCCAGTTCTTTTAGGTGCACTGGTAGATTATTTACTTGGGATTTTTCTTGTTTGTTAATGTAGGCCCCACTTGCTGTAAACTTCCCTCTTAGGACCACTTTTGCTGTATCCCATAGATTTTGCCATGTTGTATTTTCATTTTCATTTGTCTCCAGGTAATTTTTTTATTTCTCCTTTGATTTCTTCATTAACCCAATCGTTGTTCATTAGTATTTTGTTTAATCTCCACATAATAGAGGGTTTTCTGATTTTCTTCCAGTAGTTGATCTCTAGTTTCATACCTTTGTGGTTAGATAAGATACTTGGTATTATTTCAATCTTCTTATTTATTGAGACTTGATTTGTGGCCTAATATATGATCAGTCTTGTAGAAGGTTCCATGTGCATTTGAAAAGAATGTGTATTCTTTGCCATTTGCATGGAGTATCTTTTTCCATCCTTTTACTTTCAGTTTGTGAGTGTCTTTAGTTCTGAGGTGTGTCTCTTGTATGAAGCATCTATATGGGTCTTGTTTTTTTATCCAATCAGCCATCCTATGCCTTTTTGGTTTTTTAAAGGAGCCAGATTTTTTTTAAGATTGGCACCTGAGCTAACATCTATTCCCAGTCTTCTTTTTTAATGTTTTCTTCTTCTTCTCCCCAAAGTCCCCCAGTACATAGTTGTATATTATAGTTGTAGGTCCTTCTGATTGTGCTACGTGAGACACTGCCTCAGTATGGCCTGATGAGCAGTGCCATGTCCACGCCCAGGATCAAAACTGGCAAAACCCCAGGACACCAAAGTGGAGTGCGCAAACTTAACCACTTGGCCACAGGGCTGGCCCTTACCCTATGCCTTTTGATTGGAGCATTACTCCATTGACATTTAAAGTAGCTATTGATAAGTATGCACTTATTGCTATTTTGTTATTTTTTCTGGGTGTTTTAGTAGCTCTTCTCTTTTCCTTTCTTCTTCTCTTGCTCTCTTCCCTTGTGGTTTGATGGCTTTCTTTAGTATTATGTTTAGATTCCTTTATTTTAATTATTTCTGTATTTATTATAGGTTTCTGGTTTGTGATTACCATGAGGTTCATATATAATAATCTACATATGTAGCAATCTATATTGAATTGATGGTCTCTTTAGTTTGACCTTTTTTTAAGAGCTCCATTCTTTTACTCTCCTCCTCCCACATTTTATATTTTTATATCATATCTAACCTTTTATTTTGTGTGTGTGTATCCATTACCCTCTTATCATTGAATTAGGTAATTTTAGTAATTTTGTCATTTGACCTTCATATTATCTTCATAGGTGGTTTATCTGCTACCCTTATTGTATTTTTGCCTTTACCAGTGATTTTATTGCCTTTTTTCTTTGATAATTTTCTTATACCTATTTGTGGTCTTCTTTTTCCCACTTAAATAAGTCCCTTTAGCATTTCTTATAAAACTGGTTTCTTGGTGATAAACTCCTTTAATTTTTGCTTATCTGGAAAACTCTTTATCTCCCATTCCATTCTGAATAGATAACCTTGCCAGGTAGAGTATTCTTGGCTGTAGGTTTTTTCCTTTCAGCACTTTAAATATATCATGCCATTCCCTTCTAACCTATAAGGTTTCAGCTGAGAAGTCAACTGTTAGCCTTGTGGGGTTTCCTTTGCATGTCACTTGTTGCCTTTCTCTTGTGGCTTTTACGATTCTCTCTTTATCTTTAATTCTTAACATTTTAATTATAATGTGTCTTGATGTGGGCCTCTTTGGGTTTATCTTGTTTGGAGTTCTCTGTGCTTCCTGTACCTGGATGTCTGTTTCGTTCCTTAGGTTAGGAAAGTTTTCAGCTATTATTTCTTCAGATAGATTCTCTGCCCTTTTGTCTCCCTCTTCTTCTTCTGGGATTCCTATAATACAAATGTTAGTGCACTTGATGCTGTCCCAGAATTCCTTAGATTGTTCTCATTCTTTTTAATTCTTTTTCTTTTTTTGTTCAACTTCAGTGATTTCCTCTAGTCTTTTGTCCAGCTTGTTGATCTGTTCTTTTGTATCACCTACTCCACTATTGAGTCCCTCTAGTGAGTTTTTCATATCCAGTATTGTATTCTTCATTTCTGATTAGTTCATTTTTATATTTTCCAATTCTTTGTTGACATACTCACTTTGTTCATCCATTCTTCTCCCAAGATCAGTGAGCATCTTTATGACTTTTGTTTGAACTTTTTGTTGGGTAGATTGTTTATTTCTGTTTCATTTAGTTCTTTTCCTGGAGTTTTGCCCTGCTCCCTTGCTTGGAATGTATTCCTTTGCTGCTTTATTTTGCCTCTTTCTCTCTGCTTATGTCTACTTATTAGGTGGGTCAGCTATGTCTCCTGATCTTATGTAAGAGATGCCTTTTGAGCCCTAGCAGTGTGCTTCCCTCCTGTCACCAGTTCCAAGTGTACCAGGAGTGACACCTATGTAGGCTACATGCGTCCTTCTGTTGTGGCAGGGCTGCTCTTGCTGCAGGTGCCCAGGGAGTCTAGGCTGTCCTCCTGGCCTGCTGGTTGTAATACTCAGCTACAGGGGGCTGCTGTGGACCCTTCAGTCACTTTATTAAGTTTTGGGAGCCCCAGTGCAGTTGGCTGCAAGGTCTAATAGCACATTTCCTGTTGCAGCTTTTCTGTTAAGTGAGTAGCCCACCAGTGTAACTGGTTGCTAGGCTCAGGGGCTTACAATTGCTGTAGGCCTCACGCCTGTGAGGCTGTTGCCAGCTCTCTCAGGATTTCAGCTAAGTGGGGCTGGCCCCAGTCATGGGAGCACCCAATTGTTTCAGGCTTTGGAAGGTAAGGCCAATCTCCTACATGGCTATTTGAGAAGCACAGGTCTTCTGCTACTGATAAGACCCATGACCAACAGGTCCACACATACCATCAACACAGTCCTGGCCTGTGCACACATCCTGACTCTCTGGAGCAGACCTAGTGGTCACCCCACTGCAAATGCCCCACCAATGCCCCACACACTCCACCTTGCCCCACAGGAGTGGACCCACTTGCCTGCCTGCAGATGATGCAGGTACCCAGTCTATACAGGCCAAAGAGTTACCCGAGGGCTTGCTCTTGGGTGGAGCCACTCCCTAGGGCTGCTGCCTGCCCTGGCTGAGCTGGATTAAATTGACCTCTAGTAGGAGGGGCAGACACTGGGATAACAGGCCAGGGGAAGAACTCCAATGGTGTCTGCCCATGTTTGTGTCAGCCTGCAAGTACTAGCTCAGAATAATGGCTGCCACCAATGTCTCAGTCCCTGGAGAGGTCTCACCTCTCACCAAGATGCACCCAGAGCCTATCAGGTGAGTCTCTTTTCACCAAAGGACTGTGCAACTTTCTTTCTGGTGGTTTTAGGTTTCTTTCCAAAGCAAGTGAAGCTATGTGTGGGACCTTTAAGAGTTGGCTTTATTCTGCTCATATCTGATAGGTTTTCTAGGGGTATTCCCTGTTGTAGCTAATATCCAGCAAAGCCAAATATTATGAGACTCATCTCAGTTGTGCTGAGTCTGAAGGATGCTTATAGCACCACATTCCCCTGCTCAGGTCTCCCACTCCTCCAGGGAAGGCTGCATACCCTAGGGTTTCTCCAACCTGGTTGGCTGTGCAGCTCTATGGCTCTCAAAGGTGGCTTTTTTCTCTCCAGACAGGAATTTCTGACTCTTCTGCTTCAATCAGGACTGTCCATTATTGCTGGGGTTCTTTTTTACCCAGTTTTCAGTTCTCTTTCAGAGGCAGTCGTTCCAAGAAAAGTTGTAATTTGTTGTGTTTGTGGGAGGAAGTGAGTTCAGAGCCTGCCTATGCCACCATCTCAGCACCCACAGAGGTGCTCCATTTCCTTTTTACTCTCAGCTCTACCTGCCAGGTGTTGAATCTCCTCAGGCTAGGCCTCAGCTAAGATGAGTCAGGCACTTATCTCAGGTACAACATGTAAGTGTGTACCAAAAAGCTTAGTAAATAAGATTAATAATATTTTAATATAATCTTTTTATATCAAAATTAATGCAAAATATCCACAATGAACAAAATATCAAATTTTAAATAAAGAGAGGATTGACTATACTGTACTGAACCATATTGGAGCCCAAGGCAAAAGGAAAAATGAGAGTCCCTATACACATGTTTTTAATGGTTGAATTTTTCCATAATTTTATTTTGAAATATTATTTATGAGTTTCTTCCATTAAAGCCAGCAAATTATAATAAATTCTAATTTTCCCATAAATAATATATTTAAATTTAAACCAATGTCATGAGTTTTAATATACCTACTTTTCAATGTTTCAATATATTTTAAACCACTTTAATATTCTGGAAAAAAGTTAACCCTAGTCCCAGCCCTGCATAACAAAAAACATCTGCAGCTATCAAGATATCAAGTTGTGTACACAGACAGTGTGTGTTATACTATATTATCCAGAGGTCTCAAGAAGATCTTTTCTGAATCAACAGTTTATCAGAACAGAAAAACCTAAAAATCCCAGGAACCAAACATTTATTCCCTCCCCAGAAACTTACCCCAGTTCTAAAGAAAGTTCTTCCTTAACATGTGTAAGAAGCTGCCAGATGCAGATTCTGGAGTGAAATAGGACAGTATTTGTACCTCATCAGCAGGAATCCCTTGGATGAGGACAGAGCTTCCACCCTACTAGGTCTTTAGGGAGCATCTGGTTTAATTAGACAAAAGCAGACCCCAGCAGGACCAGTCTCCAGAGATCACTGACTCAGGAACCAAAAAGGGTGGGTAATGTAACTATGTCCTACCTGCAGCAGACTATACAAATTGCATCTGATAATGACCCCATATTTCTGGCTAACAAATGGACACAGAGTGGATTTGGGCTGTTGCTGGTCAACAGTTTTTTTAAAAAACTGGAGCCTCTTCAGATGTTAAATACAAAATTACTTTTATCCATTTTTTCATAACTCATTTTACGTGGTGATCAGCTCCCTGTGTTTCTGGAGTGCATCTAGTATACTGAGAAGACTAAACGCTCATGTCAGGGGCATGTACACTTAGCTATTATTTCTGGGCTGTGGGGAAGGCATGTGAGACAAGAAGAGAATAGAGGAAACAAAGAAACAGCAAAAGGAGGTAAAGAGGAAGAACCAGAAGAGAAAAAAAGAAAAGTGGGAGGAGGAGGATGAAGAAGAAGGAAAAGAGGAAGAGAAGAAAATGCCATCTCAGTCCAGGATATCTCTGTATTTCACACTTAGTTTTTTGGATAAAGCTGGGAGTAGGGATTAATGAGGAGCCATCAGCCTGGAAGGGAAGCACAACACCAAGCCTTGATGTCAAAGAACCAGTGGGCTACACCTTCCCGGATCTGCTTTGTCTTCACACCATAGACAATGGGGTTGAGCATTGGTGGCACCACCACATAAAGATTAGCCAGCAGGATATGGACATGTAGAGGAATGTTATGTCCAAAGCGGTGGGTCAGTAATGTAAAGAAGGATGGAACATAAAACATGAGGATGACACAAAGGTGAGAGCCACAAGTGCTGAGGGCCTTGTGCCGGGCATCCTGAGAGGGCAAATGAAAGACGGCTCGGAGGATCAGTGAGTAAGACACAGTGATGAGGATCACATCCAAGATGACCATGACAATGGGCACTGAGAACCCATACCAGATGTTAATGGTGATGTCAGAACAGGCTAAGCGGGCCACCCCAATATGCTCACAGTAGGAATGGGGAATGATGTTGGTCCGGCAGAAGGGCAGCCGCTTCAGCAGGAAGATGACTGGAAAGATGATGCAGAAGCTTCGAGTAACAATAGCCAGAGCAATCCTTCCCACAATAGGCCATGTTAGCACTGTTGTATAATGCAAGGGGGCACAGATGGCCACAAAGCGGTCAAAGGCCATGGCTAATAGGATGGCTGACTCCCCCACAAACATCATGTGGACAAAGAAAACTTGGGTGACACAGGCATCAAAGGCAATGTCATGGGCATGAAGCCAAAAGATAGCTAGGGCCTTGGGTACGGTAGTGGTGGACAGCAGGATGTCTGTGATGGCCAGCATGGAGAGGAAGAAGTACATGGGCTCATGAAGGTTACGTTCTGTGATGATGACCATTATCAGGATGCTGTTGCCTAGGACTGCAGTAATATACATGAGGCAGAGGGGTATTGACAGCCAAATGTGATGAGCCTCCAACCCAGGGATGCCAAGTAGAGCAAAAACTGCAGGGTGGAAGATGGTGAGGTTGGCATGAGTCATGATGCACTTTAGCGTCCTCCCTATCATGACTTAGAAGTTGATGAGTCTGCTGAAAGTGATAGGAACAGAAAGCATCTCTGAGTGCGTGCAGAGATCACAAAAGACAGCATGGATTTCTAAATTGTCAGACTCTCCAGGGGAAAGTTCTTTCAGAGAATGTACATTTGGGTGTAGGAATGACTTCTGGCCTTTGGCACCTCATTTGCATGTAGAGTTTCTGTGGCAATCACGCTTCAAGAACCAAGAGAGGCTTTAACTTGCCTCCGATCACCTAGCCCACCTTACTTTTCTGATCGCATTCTGCCATTGCCAGAATTTGCCCCCTTACCTGTGCTGTACTTTTTTCTTCCCCCAAGATTTTGCTCCTTCTGTGTTTACCTGAATTTCCCTTCAATTCCACTTCTGCTTACTCAAATTTTAACCTTAAAATACCTCCTTAGGACATACCACTTTGTAATGGCCCATGTTCATAACAATATATCTCCTTCCTGAATATCTAGTAGCTAAACTACACCTTAACTTGACTATATTTAACATACTAAATTTATCCAGCTATTGCCTTGAATATCTCATATGAGACTTGCCTAATAGCACTTGTGGCTTCCTGTGCCTGGAAGTAGAGGACCAAGTGGAAATCCAGAAAGAGCCTAAGGGATATATTTCTCCACTCTGACTCAGATTCAAATCTCCCTAAAGGCAGCGAGGAGGGGGGCAGCCAATAAAATGGAGAGGGGCTGTATTCATCACCTGCTCCTCATGAACTTCTCATGCTCCTCCTCAAACAGTCCCATATAAATGGCCTTTGATTGTGTCTAGATGTTCTCATCCTTAACAGCCCCCAGAAAAACTACTCCAAATACAGGGAACCAATACACTCCCCTCTGTCTCCATTAATATGACCCTTTCTCACTCAACTTGTTCTTTAACCCTCAAAAAGATTCAGGTTTGGCTGCAGATAAGAATGGTAAAGCATAGAGCCCTTCTTGCCTTAGCACTTCCCATCACTTGGGTAAGATTTGTTTCCTTCTGAAGCTCTGGACTATCTTAATAGTCAGCTATTAGGACTAGGGAAAGGTTGAGTGATTAAGAATCTGAAATGGAACATGGAGAAAAGGGAGCATGGAGAGAATCGAGAGTATAAAGGCATCAAATAAATACTAGATGGATCTACTGATAATGGTATTCAGAGGGCCCCAGGGAGGAAGGCATCCCAAGGAATGAAAGCCCTAGATTATGAATCCATCCTGCTGTCTCTATGCAGATGCACTTGCCAGAACACACTTCACTGTGGGGAGCGAGCAATAGGTCTCCACGTGGGAACAGGGCCAGATTCAGACATCAAGGGCCCTACTTGGGCTAATAATTTGTCACCTTTTGAGCTAGTATATTTTAAATATTCATTCAACTTTTACTTAGGGGAGAGGCTGAACTTTGCAGGGATAAGCAGAGAAGAAGGGCCACAGGTAGCATTGCTTTGCTTCTATTCTAAAACATTAGCCCCAAATTTATTTAAACAAAAGACCCACCAGAAAAAATAATTCATTTTCCTTAGAAGGATATTTGCTGAAAATTTTTCTCACCACTTCTCCCAACCCCATTAATTATTAAGATACCCCTTTTCAATAAAAGATATCTGACATAGGGCCAGCCGGTGGTGCAGCAGTTAAGTGTGCACGTTCCGCTCCGGCGGCCAGGGGTTAGCCACTTCGGATCCCAGGTACAGACATGGCACCCCTCAGCAAGTCATGCTGTGGCAGGCGTCCCACGTATGAAGTAGAGGAAGATGGGCACGGATATTAGCTCAGGGCCAGTCTTCCCCAGCAAAAAGAGGAGGATTGGCAGCAGTTAGCTCAGGGCTAATCTTCCTCAAAAAAAAAAAAAAAAAAAAAAGATATCTGACATAAATTCTCCTAAAAATAACTCTGGCTCTCTGCTTATAATTCCAATGATGTTTTATAATCTCAATAGTGAGATACCAAACACAGAGTGGGGAGGACAGCAAGACCTAAATGGCTGTTAATGAGGTTCTGGAAAGGAGGTCACCATCTGTGTGAAGAAGGGCTTTCATTTCATTCAGTGGCTTCGAAGTGCTCCATCTCAGCCCTCCTGAGGGTTCTCAGCAGGAGAGTTCTAGGCTCATTTAGGAAAGAGTCAGAGGTGAGAAGAGAAGAAAGTCACAGGCACAAAGAGGCACACTCAAAGTCTCATGGAAAGTACCTCCCCAGAAAAACGGTACCTCCCCAGTACGTCTTCAGAAAAAAAAGCAAGAAAAAAAGACCTGGAACAGTAGTGAAGGGGAAAGGAGCCATGCTGAGTGGGAGAGGACACAGTGCAGTAGGAGAAACACACTGAGTTCTGGAGCCAGATTTCCTGGATTAATTTCCCAGTCCTTCCCTGGTTGGCTGGATGGTCATGGGCAGTTACTTTACTTCTGCACGCCTCCGTCCTTCAATTGTAAGATGTGGATAACAATAAACTCTATGAGATAATTAGGAGGATTAAATGAGTCAATTCATATAAAGTACTCAGAAGAGCAGGTTATCATTATTGTTGTTATTATTATTTTTATCAATCTTTTTGGTTATTATCCTATTGTTTTTTTTCCAATAGGCAAAGCACCTTAACGAACATTCAGCAACATTTAAAGTCTTACTCTTCATCCAAATATGACCAAAAGGAATTCCTTTTCCAGGAGTAAAGAAGAGGGAAAGGGATAAGAGAAGTGCCCAAGGAGAGAAGAACAGCTTGAGAACAGATCACTCAGATGGACCTGGCAATTGAGAACCAAGGCCTGAGGGCTTTGAGTGGTGCACCAGGCAGGTCCACCGGTGATGGACTTAGCTTGGATCAGGACTACCTGACAGGCTTCCCTCAAATGCTCTGAAAAACACCCATCTGTCTCAGCGGAAACAAAGAGAGACCATCTCCATCATTTACAGACTCCTCAGGCACATAGCAGAGTGGTGGGAGTCATAGCTTCAGCTCTAGAACCAAGGAGAGTTCACCTCTAGCATCACAAGGAAGATTCAGTCCAGACTAAGAAATGGAGCCACTTCCCTGAAGCCCCTGACTGGTCTCTGCTCTCTCTTTTTCTTCCTGTGAGTTCCATCTAGCTCCTAGTTTTTGGTTATGCCCATTCCCTCTTTAGGGAGTTATATAAAGGCCTTTCATGTCTTAATGCAATCTTAATTTTGGAAGACTCTCCTAACATCACAACAATATATTAAAATGTACCCACAAACCACAGCTGGAAAACTGTTAGATAGCTATACAAGAGTCAACTCAGTTAATTTTTTGCCTAGTTGTATTAATTAGACATTTATTTAAACAAATATTCATTTCATTTTGCCATTCTCCTTGTACATGTGCTTCAAATATCATCCTTTTCACCACTCTTAGATTCTTTAAAATGCACAGGTTCCACTCACTGAAGCTATGTCCCTAATAAATAAAACAGCCTGCACTGCTCCCCAGGTTATCAGGGTGGGCTCTGTTTGCAGTATAATATAGAAGGATCAGTTGTAAAATGTGTCACAAGAAATTTGTTTCTAATACTATTTAAGGTACCAAAATTTGTAAATGATTTACAAATGATTTTAATAAATTGGAGCAAATTCAGGTTTCTATCCCTAATAACTTTACTCTTGCTCATATGTACTTAAAGCCAGCATGTAAAATGTTTTCATAATCTAAAGCCAGTGTCATCTATGCTGCAGAGGGACTGAGAAACCCTTAATAGTGACTCACATTTTTTAATAAATAAACATCTCAAGAAAAGTTTCCACCTACCCATTTGTATTACTCCCTATAAACATTTTGGAGATTTTGTCAAAATTTGAGTAGCAATGTGGTGCTATAGCATGTGTAAATACCATCTGCCATATTCTTGTGATGTGATGGCAAAAAGCTCCAAGGCACATCCTCTTCTTCTCCCAATCTCTATACCTGTTCTGCAAAATGCAGTATGAGAGACAGAATGAAGATGATTTTTCCAGTTTAGACACACCTGACACACAGATTACCGAAAGAAATTTTCCTCAAGAGTCCTTCTTTGATACTGGGGAGTTCACAACACTAAGCACAGAGTCTGGCATAGTTTAAGTACTTAGGGAATATTTGAACAAATGAACCATGGAATTAGTGAGTTAATCTTTTACCAGTAGCTTTGTTTGTTGTGCAAAGGTGGTGATCAAAACCCAAGCCATTTTCAGGAACAGCCCCACTTATAGCCCCAGCCCTCGTACAGTTTTATTCTGACTGTTCTATAAACTGCACTCAAACGTTTTACCAAGAATTCTCTCTTCCCTCACATTCTCCTGGTGCCCCTCTGCATTCCCACTCCTATCTCTAACCAGTGTCCCCCTCCTAGTCTCACCGACATATGCCCCAATGCCCATACTCCCCACCCTGTGGTATCTCTTGCTGCAATCCTTTGTCTCACTGACCCCTTGTCCTTCTCCCACAGATCAATTTCCTCTCTCCCAGCTCCCAGTCTTTGTCCTTTACAGGTACTTCTCAATACACACACACACACACACACACACAAACACACACTCACACACACACCTGTCAATCCCTCCTCCTGCCACCATCAATGCTCTTAAACTCACCTACTACATCACAGGATCAGCTGAAGGATTGACAGAGTGGTAGAGAGCAGCTAAAAACTTTGCTTGTTCTTAGAGAAGAGTAATGAGAAAAAGAAGGCTAGAGACTGATCATGTTGCCATGAGGGTGTCACTATTCCTGCCCTGTACAGGGTGCTTATATTTAGAGACTGAGAAGACACACGCTTCCTTCTTCTGGAGGCAGATGTCAGAGTCACCCCTGGGATCACTGAGCATGGGGTCAATGAACCAAGGGAGAAATGAAAACTCTTCCCCTAATGCCAAGAGGGAGCACTAACTCTAGGGATAACGGCTCCGGACAAAATAAACATAAAGTATTTGAAGACACACCATAAGAACAGTGGCAGAAATCTCAGCAACAAAATAATAACATAATAATAGCTAACAGCTGTCAATCTCTTTAGACATCCTTGTCATTGTGTTAGGGTTTAACATAAATTATCTCATTTAATTCTCAAAACAACCCAATGAGATAAGGCTCCATTATTATATCCATTTGGCAAACAAGAAAACAGAGGATTAGAGAGACTAAGTAACTGATAAGGAGAGAAGACGACATGTCAGAGTGTTCAGACTGAGTCCAGAAACACTGAATAAGGGAGGTGAGATGTATAATTTTGAAGCAACCCTGCAAGGTCAATCATTCAATATAAATTCAAGAAAAAAGGAGACAGAATAAATGAAATGCTGATTAAAATTTTTCCACCATTAAAAGTAAATTTTACTTTGTGTGAGCACTTAATTAAAGTACTCTAAGATTATTGGGAGGACAGTAACACTTCCCAACTCATCTTGTAACTTTTGGAGCAAAGAAGTTGTTAGGAAACTAATAAGGCAAAAAGAAAAATAAAAAAGACATCAACCCAGCAATCCCACTCTTAGGTATTTAACCAGGAAAAATGAAAACATAAGTCCATAAAAGCCTTGAACACAAGTGTTCATAACAGATTTATTCATAGTAACCAAAAACTGGAAATAACCCAAATGTCCATCAAAAGAAGAATGGATAGGGGCTGGCCCGGTGGTGCAGCTGTTAAGTTTGCACGTTCCGCTTCTCAGCAGCCCAGGGTTCACTGGTTTGGACCCTGGGTGTGGACATGGCACCACTTGGCAAAAAGCCATGCTGTGGTAGGCGTCCCATGTATAAAGTAGAGGAAGATGGGCATGGATGTTAGCTCAGGGCCAGTCTTCCTCAGTAAAATAAGAGGAGCATTGGCAGTAGTTAGGTCAGAGCTAATCTTCCTCAAAAAAAAAAAAAAAACAAAGAAGAATAGATAAACAAATTGTGATATATTCATACAATGGAATACTATTTGGCAATTAAAATCAATGAGCTACTAAAACACGCAACAATACAGATTCAACTCAAGATCGTCATGCTGTGTGAAAGAAGTCAGATACAAAAGGCTATATACTGTATGATTCCATTCATATGAGGTTCTACAACAGACAAAAACTCATCTGTGATGATAGAAATCAGAACAGTGATTGCCTGTGAGGTGGGAGGAAGCAGAAAGGAGTTTCTTTGATGAACATATTCTACACATTGAGAGGAGTGTGAGTTACATGGGTGTCTGCATTTGTCAACAGAAGGATTTTTTGGAGCATCAGGAAGGAATAATGAGCAATGAAAGGACCAGTAATATAGGTAAAGTCTTCTTCTTATGAAATTTTTATATCACATGCAATTATTAAAACAAAAATTATAACACCATCTGATACTTGACGTAACGCTATCTAAAACTGAGAAGAGTAAAAGGCACTGAACGGAACTAACTTTTCTACACTTTACTAAAAGTGGTAAAATGTTGATACCAGTGGACTATAGGTCATATTTATATATTTTAATAGAACAACCACAAAGAAAACTATACAAATCCATACACTCAAAAACTCTATAAACAAATCAAGAAAGTATCCTAAAAGTGTTCAAATAACCCACAGAAAGGCAAAAAAACAAAAACAGAAGAATGAGATCCAGAAGAAACAAACATAAAACAAATAATAAAATGGTAGACTTAAGCTCTAACATATTATTAATTACCTTAAGTGTAAAGGTCTAAATACACCAATTAAAAAACAGATTGAAATTTTTAAAAAATACAACCCAAATATATGCTGTTTACAAGAAATTCACTTC